AAGGGGACAGCGAGTGCAGTGCCACAGTGAAGGGGACAGCGAGTGCAGTGCCACAGTGAAGGGGACAGCGAGTGCAGCGCCACAGAGACAGCTGTCCTGGGGGAATTCAGGGACCTGCACACAGTTAAACACACAGGAGGGCACAGTGTGACGGGGCATGGAGCCAGGCTGGAGTGGCAGGCAGGAGCTGCATCATGATACTATGAGCTAAGGAACTGGGATGTTGGCTTTCAGAAACTGACAACTGAAAGAGGACTTTCAGCAAGGGAGAAACCCAATCAGGCTGCACGACAACCAATATTAGTGTTATGGACTGAATTGTGTCCCCTCAAGATTCACATGTTGAGGCCCTCACCCCCAGGAGCTCGGAATGTGACCGTATTTGGAAATAGGGTTACTGCAGATGTCGTTAGTTAAGATGAGGTCACTAGTGTGGGCCCTAATCCAATCTGACTGCTTTCCTTGTAAAAAGGGGAAATGTGGACACAGACACACACACAGAGAAAATGCCACGTGATGATGAAGGCAGAGATCAGGGTGATACATTTATAAGCCAAGGACACCAAAGATTGCCAGCAGACCACCAGAAGCCACGAGAGAGGCCTGGAACAGATCCTCCCTCACAGCCTCAGAAGGACTGATCCTGCCGAAGCTGATCTGGAACTTCCAGCCTCCAGGACTGCGGGACAGTGAGTTTCTGTTGTCTGAGCCACCCAGCATGTGGTCCTTGGTTACAGCAGGCCAAGCAGACCAGCGCAGTTAGTTACCACTATTGCATTTCAGAAAGCTCTGATCACATCTCCCAACTCAGGTCAGAAGTCTTCAGTAAGAAACTTTTATAACCATTCTTTTTAGCCTCTTTCTAATAATCTGGATAATATAAAATCATTACTAACTTGGAACATTAATATAAGTTTAAATACAGGGCCTCTGTGGAAAAATGTCGAGAATTTCCTGACCTAATAATACAGTTGGCAGTAGCAATTTTGCCTTCACTTATCCGAGGATTTTTACTTTTACATGTACTTTCAAAGATACCATCTCATGCGATCATCCTCTACAACCCTAGGAGAGAGGAGCAGAGCTCTCCAGATGAGGAAACTGAGGCACAGAGAGGGTAAGAGACATGCTCAAAGTCACACCGCAAATCAGGGTGGAGGGCCTGGAGGAGGGACAGGCAGCACCAGGCAGTCTGACAGCTTGAGCCCAGGAAGACTTGAGACCCCATACTAGAACTGAAGGATGGGCCTTTGCTCTGGCCCCCAATGGACTTGAGAGGAACTGTTTTGTTTTCTGTTTAACTTCACTCTGGTCTAGCCCTGGCTCTAAGACTTCTTGGAGTGCTTAGTTCCTGTCTTTCCTGGATCCAGGATAAGAGAGACAAGGGTTGATGGAGACCTGTAGTAGGCAAATAGCCTGCAGGTCAAATCTGGCCTGCCGCCTGTGTTTGTAAATAAAGTTTTATTGGAACTGGGCCGCTCATTTGCATACTATCCATGGCTGCTTTCCCACCGCAATGTGACAGAGACCATGGCCTGCAAAGCTTAGAAATATTTACTATCTGGCCCTTTAGATAAAAAGTTTGCCGACCTTGATCTAGATAATAATTAGAGCTATACTGAGTGCCTCCTGTGTGACAGGCATTGGGGTAAATGTCACACACAGTTAGTAGTGTTAGCATCTCTGGTTCTCAGAAATGGGATTTGATCCTGGGTAGCCCTGACCAGGAGCCCTGCCTAAAAGATGCTCCTCATGTAAAGGAAGCACGCACCTTGGTTTTGGCTTGGATAGGTGCCCCGTGGTCCAGCAGGATCTCTGAGATTCGCACGTGCCCATTCCGAGCTGCACAGTGGAGAGGTGTCAATTCATCCTTTAAAAGACAGAGTCAAAAAGAGAAAGCCCCAAAGGTACCCATCAGAGGCCATTTGGAGAGAAGACTGCCAGCAGCATCATTCCAGCCGCAGATGCGCGCATACCTCCTTCAGGACCAGCACAAGACCTTCAGCGCAGTCTTGTAATATCTCCCACCGTACCCTGCCTCCTTCTGCAGGGGGCTCCAGGAGGCTGGATGCCCCATCACTGGCTGGTCACCGAGAGCCCACCACTCCAGGTGAGGCTCTGGAAGGCAGAGTTCCCTCCCCTGGCCTTGCCACGGAGCTCGCTGGCACCCACCTTGGTCCTTGTTTCTATCTGGGCCCCGCGGTCCAGCAGGAGCCGCACCATGATCACGTTCCCCCTACGGGAGGCGATGTGCAGCGGCGTGATGCCATTCTGGAGGGAGGAACAGGGACCAGTCAGGACACCGCATCTTCCTCTTGAATGCAGCTGCTGTGGACCCCACTCCCCAGGGGCCCTCGTCCCAGCCCCACAATGGCAACAGTACAAGCAGCCACTTTAAGCCTGCTGTGAGGACATTTCCCACCTAAGAAAGATGTAAAAACCTGTGCGGACTTGACAGCATTGCGGTTAATCATAGCAAGCTGGCCAAGCCCAGGTCTCCCCGAGTCCACACAACAGGCTGGAAGAAGCCAGTCCTCTGCCCTCCAGATTTCTCACCTCTAGAACAGGCGGTGGTTAGGAACCCACCCACTAGCAGCCTTGACAGACACCAGGGCTGTCCCACCACAGGCACTCTGCAGTGTGGGGGACATCCATGGTGCCACAGCGAGAGGCAGGAGCGCCTAGATTCTAGACAACCCCAAACCTGTCTGCGGGGCCTGCCCGAGAGCCTCACCTGTGGCGTGAAGTTGACACTGGCTCCCCTGTTGAGGAGTAACTGGGCCACGTTGAGGTTCTCGTAGTGAGCTGCGATGTGGAGGGGGGTGAATCCCGTCTGGGGCACAACAGAGAGGGAACAACGTGTCACATGCCATGTACTGCCATTTCTATCTCAGACTCAGCCCAGGGATTCTGAAAAAGCTGGCAGAGCCAGAGGACCTATCCATAAAGCAGATGTTGACTGACGAGAACATTTGCTGAAGGGGTCAAGAGACACTCTGTGACAAGTTTCCTTCAAAAGCTAGGTGCTACCCGAGGGACCCACACTCTCTGTTTTGTGGTTCACATGGACAGAGCGTCGCTCAGGACTGGCTCACACTCTGCAGGGCCCATTCATCTGCATGGTTGCTTATGAAGAGGTTTTTATGAATGAATGAAAAGTATTACGGGGTCCATGATCTTAATCCTAGGGATGGTTTCATCCCCCTAAAAGGGTGTGATGCCTCAGCTGGCTGGCCAAAGGCAGCCCTTTGACCGCTTGATGGGTCTATTGTCATCATTCTGTTCTATAACCTCAGACCATGCCCAATCCAGGCAGCAGTTTTCCAGACAAAACCCAGTGACCATGGGTGGGGGTACTAGGTAAATAACTCCGTGCAAATCGATTCCCAGTATAAGAAAAGTAACTAACAGCCTAAACTTACAGATAGTGGATCAGTAGTGCCTGAAAACATCAGCCAGTGTGTTCAGGTGGCTAGCTGTCCAGTCCCCTTGGGGAGCCCCTCTATTTCTCACCTCCACATGTGGGGATACCACCCCCAACCCCTCCACCAAGGGCAGCCAGGGAAAAAGAGCAGGATAAAACCATAGACCACCACCTGCTGGGATTCCAAAGTTTCACTCTGGCCAGAGACCCACACTGCCCCGCCTAGACACTTTTCTGGATGACCTGGAGCAACAAGAAGCTTGCCTGCCCCACGCCAAGCACATTTTTCTTGGCATTCACCAGGGATTTAAAGTGGGGCTGTCCTCTCTGGCTCTGATACGTAGATGGTGGGAACCCAAAGGCACCGTGGGAGCTGGTGCTTGGTGTGCGTGGCTGACACCATCTCTGGTCTGGGTTCGTTCTTGGGGAAATTGTTGGGAGTTGATGGTGCCTCTGTAACCCACAGATCTCCACAGTCCAGGCCCTAGAACTCGCTCAGCCCTCCGTCTGGCCACCCTCACCTTGGAAAGCACGTCTGGGTTGGGGTCATTCTGCAGAAGCACCGCAGCTGTCCGGGTGTCATCATTGCGGGCCGCGATGTGCAGGGCAGGGAGGCGCACCTTCCCTCTCGTCCCGAAGTTGATGAGGTGTGCCACCACGTTCTCATGGCCCTGCTGCAGAGCCACGGCAAGAGGTGTGAAGCCATCCTGGCCAGAAGAGAGGAGGAAAGATTGATTTGCTCCGACCACATCTGACCACTCACTGCCATCAAGGTAGGACACGCTTCCACACTGCAGGGCTCCTGCTCATGACAGGCCTTCGGCCTGAAATGACCTTCCTCCATTCTCTGCTCGTCAAAGCCCTCCTCATCCTTGAAGCTCAGCTTAAGTGCCACCTCCTCCCTGAAGCCTTCCTTGGCCCCACTTCCTCTGTGATCTCACAGAGCCTACAGTAATTTTTCTTGAGCACTTATTTAATTTTCCTGTACAGCCTGTTCCCAGTCTGACTGAGTGCTATGAGAAGCTTCTCACTACCCTGGGTTTCTTTGCCTATGCTCCCTCTCACCTCATCACTGGCGCCAGGATAGTGCCTTGAACACAGTGGATGATCATTCATTTATTCATTACACGAATATTATTGAACACCTACCAAATGCTAGAAACCATGCCAGGCACTGAGATTCAGTTGTGAGCTCCTGTTATTAATCCCCTCAGTTGAATACTGAGGGGCACAGGACTCCATGAACTGGTGAAGCAGAAAGATAACAGTCATAATCGTTGAGTCTTACAATGTTAAGGGTCAGGAGAAGCCTTGGGTCTATCTAGTCCAGTGTCATCATTTCATCAATGACAAAACTCAGCATCAGAGCTGAAGTGACTTGTCCAGCATGTCCATCGGGTTCATGGCAAGAGCCTTTCTCATTAAGGTCCAAGGTGGACTTGTCTACCCTACACACGCACACCACCCCTACCCCGTCCAAGGAGCCTTCAGTGTTGGTTATAGTGGAAAGGACACACTGACTCTGGTGGCATTTCTCTGATATATGTCTAGGCTTTCCTCAAGACCCATGACTTTGTCTCTTGCTCCTTCGCAGAGCCCGACAGCACCCAGGATGATTGTAGTGACCTGAAGGTCAAGAGCACTCAATGACACTTGACACTGATCACAACAGAGGACGCATCTCAAGCCATGTCCCAGGGAGGCAGGACCCACAGCGATGTCCTGCACCTGGAGACTTCCAGCCGTGGGCCATTTTCCCAGGGCACTTACTTCTGTGGCTACATTCTGATTAGCTCCATTTTCCAGTAAAAACTTAACCACTTCCAAGTGATTCTCTTGTGCTGCCATGTACAGAGGTGTAAAGCCTTTCTGTAAACCAGGAGAAAAAGTCATTAAAATTCACCCACAATAGTGAAAGATGCTAAAACTGGTGCAAAATCCTCTAAACCTGAGGACAGCTCTCTCTTCATCCTATTTTCACCTAGTCCCCAGGGCAATAACCCCACCTGTATCTCCAGTTATAAAAACTCATTGCTATTTTGAAATGGCCTAGTGGGATTATTACGAAAGGCCACAAGGTGGGGCGACACTCCATGGAAGTCTGTTTCTGCCCCTCACAGCATCACTCAGCCTCTTGCACACACCATCCCCTCTATTTTCACTCCCTTCTTCATCTACCCCCCATGTCTCACCCCCCAAACACAGTTTCTCCCCAAATAAGCCATAACTAAACGTATTATTTGGCTGGTTTACTGAACAGAGATGGGGTCCACAATGACCAAACACATTGTGTAGCAAAAGCAGGAAAAAATGATAAAGGATGCTTTTGTCAGTGCTTGGAGACACACTGCCAATAAATCTAGACTCAGCTACACAGTGTGTGTGGACTAATGCAGTAGCCAGTGTGCCCACCATGTAACAGAGACGCAGGTAAAGAAGAAAGTCAATGACCTCCAGCCAAGGATCGGAGAGAACCATCACCTGAGACTGAGCGTTGACATTGGCGCCATAGTTGACCAGCTCCCGGACCACCTCATCCTGACCAGCGAGGGCGGCGATGTGCAGAGCTGTGTTCCCTTTCTGAAACACATGGAGGGAGGAAAGAGAGGAGGTTTCCCATTGGGCCTGTGTAAGTGACTATCAAAAGTACAGGAACAAGGTGCTAGTTGTGGGAAGGTGTGGTGGCTTTCTTTATGACCAAAAGGGGCAGACAACATGTGTGTGTGCGCCTGACCCATCAGACATCTTGACATAGTACTGAAAGCCCCAGAAGGAAAATGCCTCCGGTTCTCTGTGACAAAATTATGTCAAAGAAGAAAACAGCCAACTTCTCAACAGGAATCAGCTGCATGCAGGGGCAGCGTCTTGTCATCAGCTGACAGACGGTCAGCGTTCCTCAGGGGACACACTCAGGGTCTGCCAGGCCAGAGGCCTTCTCTGCACTTCCAGCTCCCCACAACCTGTAACTCTGCAGGACAACGTGGAGCGCCAGGAGGCCCGGAGCTCCCAGAAGAGGATGCTGAACAGATCCACCCCACGGGCTCAGCTCCCTCGATGCTGTTACACCCACTGACCAAAAGCTGGACCAAAGGGACCGAGGGAATGAGAGTGAGTGAGGTATCAGACAGAAAAGGAAAGCAAAAAAATGTGTAAGGGAGGTGTGGTACTAAAATAAACTCTATGCTGCATGAAGGGAAGAGAAGGCAAAGATGAAAGTAAGTGGGGGAAAATAGAATAAAATGTGGCAAAGAAAGAACATTTGCCATATTAATAAGTAAAATATAATGAACAAGCATGCTCCAAATAAGAGAGGAGAGAAAAACCAGAGAGAATAAACACTAGAAGAAAATGAGGTACACAGTTATAAAGTCAACTTTTAAAAGCTAAGAACTGACAACAGAGACTAAGAAATCAGGCAGGTTCTGAGGTGAGTGGAACGGCCAGGTTGTCTGGTCCGGATTCATCCTGGGCATTTAACAACAATTCCTCCACCGGGTTTAGGTCGAGCAGGCTTCTCCTGTTCCAGGATGCCGGCCTTCCTGGCAGGATCCTTCCTGCCTCCTGGGTGTCCAGGGGCTGGATGGTCAGCACATTTGGACTCCCCTACGTGACCCACTGGCACCTCTGCTCTGTGAGAAGCAGGCAGGATGGGCCCAGCTTAACAACTTCCGTCAGATAGGGCAGGTGAGAGAAAATGCAACCACAGCTGGATCCATCTGTCCCTCTGCTACTCAGGGAGCAGAGATCTCAAATGACCTCATTTTTTCTAGTTCAGACAGTATATAGTTTTTAACTAAACTACACAAATACTTGCTAATCCATCTCAGGAAACTCAAACCCCGACAAGCAGGGACTTCAAACCCAGTCCTTGTGCTGTGGCCGTCTGTTACCTGGGAGAAAAGCATCCTCACCCAGGCAGAGCTGAGCAGCATGGGGTCTACACTCTGTGGCCACCCAGCCACTGCTGCCCCAAGGCGGGTGAGCCGGCCCCACCAACGGCGCCCTGGGGCTGGAAGGGGCTCAGGTCTTGGTTTCTAAAGCGTGGCCTGTATCAGGCAGGAGTGTCCGCTTGTAGCCTCCCGAAGTCATCTTTTTGATTTCTCCTGAAGTCCCACTTGATAAACAAAAGGGTTCTTCCTCAAATATCCATCAGAGAATAAGGGCCAGAAATGAATTTATAGATGCTAATTAATCACTTTTCATAGAAGTCCAAAGAGCCTACATTTAGAGCACCTGGGTCCAACTCACTTGCTGTACCAAGTGGAACAGGGCTGTTGGCACCAGAACCTTCTCTAGAAATCAGGACTCTGAACTCCAAGTCTCCCCGTTTAGAAGAAGGAGACGTGCCGTGTCCATTCATTCGCTTGTCACACACTGAGCGTGTGTGTGTGGCAGGCACTGGGCCAGGCCTGGAGGTACAGAGATGGCTGAGACTCAGGCTCCTCACCCTCAAGAAGCTACGTAGGATGTTATTTTCCCTCTGCCCCTTCCTTCATGAAATCACATGACATCAGAGCTCTCCCTGGATAAATCCATGCGGAGGGAAGCCAGTCAGAGGTGGACCCCGGGCTGTGGATCCTGGCCACGCCATGTTCTGGATCTGGGCTGAGGGCAGCACTGGTGAGGAATGAGAACAAAGGGAATGAGGACAAAGGGCCCCCCATGCGCATGCTGCAAGGCTCAAGAAGGCGGCCCCCTGGCCTTGGGTTGGGAGTCACAGGCAGAGGGGTGCCCGGCCTCTGTGTTCTCTGTCCCTCCCTCAGCATGAAGGAACATGCCCTCGAAGAAGCTGGAAAAATTTCTTAGCTCTATTTGGATCCACAAAGACCCAACCTGTCCATTTCCAGGGAGTCACAGAGCTCATGGAAGGGAGGGTGGGTGCAGCAGGTGCTGAGTGAGTACACGTGGAAGGAGTGCTCTCTCCCTCCACCACCAGCTTCCACTCCGAGGGCGGAGGTGGCAGGATGGGGAGAGGCTGCTTTGTTTTGTGCTTTTAAAATTTCTAAGCACAGTTTAGGAAACTAGATTGGTTTTGGCTTTTTATTCTTTTTTTAATCTTTCTCATGCTTGCGAGACCCATTACAATTCCCCAATCTGTTATGACTCTTGCTTAGCCCACGGTTCCGGTTTCACTCTTTTTTTCCTCCCTCTGTATGGCATTCAGGAACCACGTTGGCTTATAAAATTTCTATAAATAACAAAGACACACCAAGTGTTTGCTTGCGAAATAACAAGCAAAGTGGGAAATTCGGAAAGAGTCAAAGTGCTGAAGCAGAATGTTTTTGCAGCTCTTGGAGGGACGCCCAGAGAGGAAAAGCCGTTCTGGCCCGCACAGCCCGTCAGATGGCACGCTGCTTGCAGCCAGGTATGTGAGAGCATCAGAGGAAAAATAATTGCATCCCCTTCATCCACAGAGGGAGCAGGGTGGAAACAACTGGTGTTTGTCGTTGGGTTAGAAAAAAATGCCCACGTACGTTCAGAAAGAGCAACTCAGTTTATTTTACCAGCTAGATCTTTTCACCTTCGGGAAATGACATGAAAATTACAGAATTTTACCTCAAAAGATGATTCTACCTTCACAATATTTTGGTAGTTCGCTTCATAACCATAAATTATATCTGTTCTCTACACATTGTTCTTCTGTTCTCTGCTTGAGAGGTGGCAAAATGTTTGCTGCATGGAATTGAAATTGAGGCTGGGTGTGAGACCAGGTTTAATAAATAGCAAATGACAAATAAGAGATGGGAGGGACCAGCCCAAGAGGAAGACCATGCAAAGTAACAAAGGAAGGAAGAGAAGAGGACACAGTACTCGAGTTAGTAAATAGAGGTGATTTTTTGTTTAGTTTAGTTTTGTTTTGAAATGCTGACTGCATGTTGCTTAATAAACAAATAAGACGCATATATGTAAGAAACAAGGCTGATTTTGCAATGTGTAGATGCATCAATTTCATGACTGTGGTTTCTGAACTTAAGTCACTGGTGTTTATAATCTATTTCTATGGGGAGAAACATATTGCTGTGAGAGGTTGATGTCTGTGCCAAATGCCTCCCAGGAAAGGAGAATGCTGTTCAGGTAATTAGGAAGGAAACAGGTTTGGGAAGGAAGACTAGCTTGGAAAGGCTAAGTGAGAGGGATCTGGACTGTCTTCTACAGCCCTCAGTAACAACACAGTCACCAATATTTATTACCAGACATTTTACATACACAATCTCACTTAATTTTCATATCAATCCTGTAACTAAGTATTATAATCCCCATTTTATAGATGAGGAAACTGAGGCTGCCCACTGGCTGAGTAACTTGCCTGAGGTCACAGAGTATGAAGCATCTTAGCTAGGATCTGGACCCAAGGCACCTGACCGTGGGGATTCCAGGGCTCTGAGCTCCTGTATTCGAGTCAAAGACCCTGGGGAAGCATGAAGCCACCGGGAAAAGGGTTTTATTTTTAGCTCTATAATCTAGTGATGAGGATGAAGTAAAGGCCCACTGACTCTTTGTGGAAACAGGGTCCTGTGTTTTTCAGGTGACTTCAGGGACTCACAGAACTAGGAAGTGATTGGAAGGACAAGAGAAATTCAGAAGCACGTGTGGGCTTCTCTCATGAAGGGCTGGTTTCTACAACAAGGTTTGGAACAATACGTGAGGGACCCATACACTTGAATTTTCAAAGAAAACCTCCCCCTCTTCCTAAGAGACGTACCTTGGTTGTCGTTTCTAGAATGATTTCTTTGTGCAGAAGTTCAACCACCATCTTCACATGCCCTTCTTTAGAGGCCAGGTGCAAGCCGTTCAACCCATTCTGTAAAGAGCAGAGAGGCAGGAAGAGTGTGGTCAGGGGACTATGCCTCTTGGTTCCAAGTGGCTGCAGTGGCCTTCCCTGCGAAGGGCTGGAGGGAAGAAACAGAGGGCCCTGAGTGGAGCCAACACAGCCTCTCCGAGCAGCTCTTCTGTAGGAGCATCAGATAACAGGAGAGCAGGGAAAGAAAGAGGGGGTGATAGCAAGACCACCACCCCCAGGTATGAATTGGGCGTGGAGAAGCTCTCACAAAACCAATAGATGACCTTGAAATTCAGATCTCGGCCAGGCCTTAGGCAGCCACTTAATCAAAATGGTATAGCTTCAACCCCCTGGTTCATTTTCACAGTAGCAACCAGAACAAGCAAAGAGGCAATACCAGTCCATCCTAACCATTTGCAGAGATAGATGTACATTTAGTCAAATAAGAAATTTTGAAATAAGGTCATATGAGAACTAAACACCACCAACCACCCAGCAATAAGATTTCCTCAACAGAAGAATGAGTATAAAACAGCCCCTTGGCCACCTTGCCATTTCAAATGTGACCAAAGCTTGTCTGCCAGTTAAATGTTAGGGGGAAAAAATGAGCAAACATTTTCCACGCCCAATCATCAGTCCATAAAAGCAGAACTCTCACTGACCAATAAAAGTCTCCACCGCATCTGGTAAAGCAGCCTGGCTCAGGTTTCACTTATCACCCTCCTGGTCTTCTGATCCCTACGCTTAGATGTCTTGAAACTTTCTGGCAAAAGCTGACTTCAAAGAGTGCTATTTAGAGCCAAAAATAATTCTGACAACATGATGGAACTAAATTTCAATTCCAGCGGATGAGTGGATCTGGGCTCCATATAGAAAGTGATTTTAGTGAGTCAGCAATCCCCATCTTCTCCTTTTGTGTTTTGTTTCTCTCTCCCCAGCAATTCTCCCCTCTTCCCCCACTCCTCCTACTTGTCTCCTTTTTCGGTCAACTCTTTTCCAGCATATTCCCTTTCAGGGGATGCCCCAGAGCCACTGCAGGCTCTGGCTAATAAGAAAGACCCTCGCCACCACGGTGGAGCGGCTTGGCTCCTGAGGGTGTGATTTGAGGGGTCCCTGACTCACCTATCCCCAAATATCTCCACAACCCCACCACGGGTGCCTGAAATTCTCACTCTCTCTTTGTGTCAGGTATCATTTTGAGGAGATTCTTGTTAAAACACAAATATTCTTCCTGGGAGTGGTAGTGCATTAACACACTAACAGATTGGTCATCCCGCTTTGCTAAAACCAGCAGAGGAAAGTACTGAGAAATTACTGCAGTAAGGAGACCCGGGACAGGCACCTCATGATGTGAGAACGGAGGTGTACAAAACTCTGTTTACGTCGGGGCCTTCGACAGGGCAAATATAACAAACAGGGGCCTTGGGTGTTGAAGAAAAGTGGGAGTGGGCTCCAAAGGGAACTTTACCTACTTCCTATTTAGATCAAGCCCGCCCTGCACCCCAAACACGCAGAGTGCAGTTAGCCAAATCTGCACACCAGCGCTGCCAGTCTTGCCAGGGCATGTGTGTGTGGGGGGAGGGGGAGGGCATGAGGGGACCTCTTCACTCAATATTTCCGTATGCAAATGCCTGAAAATCATCATTAGATTTCTTCGTCTTGTAGATTTTGTACTCCATTAAATGTAGGTCCAAAGAAGCGTTATTTACACCCCAGTGTAAATGAATTTATCAGATAAAGGCAGGTCAGAGCTAGTTTTGATAGCAGAAAGGGAGAAAGTGATTGAAGGCAGACAGCCATCCTTCAGAACAGGAATCTGGGAGAAGGAGAATAGCATTGGGAGGGAGTAAACCAATTGGCCTCAAATCAATTTGCAAAACACAAATTCACTGAAAAGCAATTTGTCAAGTGACTGGTGCTTTGGAAGCCTGGAGCTGCTGCCTCCAGCTTTTCGTCCTCAACTCTACCCTGGGGCAGGTCTGCACAGGAGCCCCTCCCCCCTCCCAGAGCACTGCGGTCTGCAATCCCCTCTTCGCATCCAGCAGCGGCCTGGTCTGGAAGGTTCTGGTCTGGAAGGTTCCGGCGCTGGGCGCAGGCACCCCGTGATGACTCGGGCATTTGGCGTGGTGTTTGCGGCTCTGGGAATCTCAGCGGCTGCTGCAGTCTGCTCGTCGAGGGGGCCTCAGCTGTGGCAGCAGCAAGTGCCGCGTGGTGCTGACTGCTGGAGTTTTCGTACTTGGGCAGCACTGTCACTTTCCATGAGCACTGATCCCGAACGCCTCGAAGCTGAGAAGCTGGCAAAGCTAGAAGGAAAACACCTCCTGTGTACCCCTCACGCTCCAGGGTGGCTGTCCCTGCTCTTTGGAGCCAGTGCCAGGATCTCATTCCAGAAGGATTCTAGACGTACTGTCAGCCCAGAGAATGCTGGCGTTGAAAGGTGAATGCTGAAGAAATCAAGGTCCAGAGGAGTCAAGAGATTAGCTAAGGTCACAAAGCCTTTCTAGAGCACAGCCACGCACAGAAACAACCTGGATTACCCAGGAAAAGAGTTTTGGTGTTTTTTCGCCCTCGGAACGAGTATGTTTCTTTTTATCAGATGATGAAAGCACATTTTCCCCTTTTTGACTACGTGGCAGCTCAGAGCTAACAGTCACTCACAATAATCATCCACATGGGTCTGCTCATGACCACTGGAGCTGATCTCCAGGATTTTACTCAGTGCCCTGGTCCATAGAAAGCCCCTCCGCTCCCCTCCTCGAGTCACCTGCCTCCCTCCCACAGCTGCACTCTTGGCAGTGGAGGGTGACGCTCTTCAACGTAAAAGGGCCATCTGAGGAGACCTGCATCTCTAAGAGTTTCCTGAGCTTCCACCCCAGATCCTGGCTCAAGGATCTCTTTTTATGACTTTTCATTTTTCTCACTTGATTTTAATTTGTGTGTTTGTGTTCAACACGGTCACCCTAAGTTACTTCCAAGTCTCTTCAGCAGTGATCTGAATCCAGAGCCCTCGTCAGAGCCACAGAAGCAAGCGCCGGCTGGCACGGCTATGGCAGGTATGCAGCCACCTGCTGCGAGCATTTACTTAACCCAATTCAGCAAACATTTACTGAGAACCTACTCTGCACCTGGCGCTGTGCTAAAGATAAATACAACACAAACCCTTATCCTTGAAGGTCTCGGTTTAGTAGAGGAAACAGGCATAAAAAATAAATGCAAAATCATGCAATAAATGCCAAAAATGGTATGTATAAGACTAGAAGCAGTACAGAGGAGAAAGGAGTTGCTCTGTTGAGAGGGTCAGGAAGCTTCACGGAGGCAGCCTTTCAAGGCAGCCTGCACACAGCAGGGTTACAAGTTCATTAACAATGGCAACATGAGAAGCCACGTCTGAGTTTAAATTTTAAACCCACAGGCTAAAATTTTAGAAACTACGCTCACAGCCATTCTCATCAAGTGCCCTCCTCTTCCTTTCATGAAGCATCTGAATTCAAGGGATGCACAACCATCCAGACCCACAGCAGCAAGTTTTCTCCAGCAATTGGCCTCAGCAGGTGGATGGCTGGTCGCCGTCCAGCAGCTGAAGTCACTGAATGCCTGCAAACTAATTTACTGCACACATACACTAAGGAGCTCATACAATTGTTTTATTAAATGCACAACTAGTCTATACAGGAGACCACTTCTGGTATTTCAAGAGTGTTTCATGGATAAATACCATATTTGATACTTTCTTTTTCTGTAAGCTGATTTTTTTATTGCTCAGATAAGAATAGGGGAGGAGCGCAAATTCTGTGAGCTCTTTGTTTTTAGCTGTAACTACAGACAGAGATGAACTGCAATCTACCACCCCTTCAAAGCCAGGATGCCTGTGTTTTATTTTAGTTAAGTCAAGTTGAAGTTATTTGCTAAAAGTGAAAGGCAGGCTGCTGAACTTGTCTTGTGTCTTCTCAGCTACTCCATCTAACCTTCACAGGCACTCCTCTTGATGCTGAGTGGCAGACAGACTGCTGGGGAGAATTATGGGGGGAAAGTCACACATTTCTTTCCCCAAATAACTGGTTGTAGAAGATAAACAAGACGGAGGTGGAGGAATATGAGAGTAAATGCTTCAGCTAAATTAGAAGCTGGGGAACAAAGCAAGAACTGCTTGTGGCCACTTTTTAACCACATGCCCTTCTCAGGGGAAAACACTAGCTTGCCAGATTCCTCTTCCTAAAGACACCTCCTTCTGGGTCTCCAATTACGTGTATGTTAGACTAGCTGATACTGGCCCACAGCTCTTGGCTGCTGTCTTCTGTTTTTCTTTCCCCACTCTTTTTTCTCTGTTATTTCAATTTTGATCATTCTACTGACTGATCTACAAGTTCTTTGATTCTTTCCTCAGCTGTGTCCAGTCCATTGATGAGCCTATTGAAGAAATTCCTCATCGTCAAAAAGGCATTTTTTTTTTATTTCTCGCATTTCATTTGACTCTTTCTTATAGTTTCCATCCCTCTGCTGAAATTTCCCATCTGATCATGAATGTTGTCCATTTTTTCCACTGGATCCTTTAACATACTAATCATAGTTATTTTAACATATTAGTCATAGTCATTATGATAATTCCAACATCCAGGTCATCTCTGAGTGTGGTTCTGTTGATTGCTTTGTCTCTTGACAGTCGTCTGTTTTTTCTTGCTTTTGCGTGTGTGCTGTAGTTTTTAATTGAATGCCAGATACTATGTGTAGAAGAGCAGTAAAGACTGAAGTAAATGGTATTTCTGCCTGGAAATGGACATGCCTCTTCTCCTGTGAAGTTGTTAGCATGGGGTAAGGGCTGAGTCAATCTAGTCAGGAGTTGACCTAGCTGGGATTTTGTTGTCTTGAGTGCACCACAGCCTTCAACTTCCTCTAGAGGTAGGCTGTTGTTACCTTCAGCTTAGAGTAGGAGTTGGGGTGCCAGACGGTTTTTCTGTGTTCCTGATCTCCCCTTGGCTTTCAGCCATCCCTGCATGCCCATGCCTCAAATGAGGTCTTTCTCC